CGTGTGATGCACGCGAATGCGTGCGCAGCCAAACTGGTAAATAATATTGAGATCTAAAGCAACTTGCTTTTACATACTGAATGACTCAATTATATACAAAAACAACAATTTTATCGAATATCGGTTTATTGATTTGAATCGATCAGCCTGAAAAGAGTTATTTCGAGTTTTTCACAGCACTCCGAAGAATCGAAGGTGTCGTCTGAACCTCTTTGGCTCTTGGACTATCCAAGGAAAGTGATTTTTCAGCAATATGATAGGTGAATACGATGAAGTCTTTTTGCCTTGCTATAAAATTCCCGATCTAAGGTCGTGTTTCTTAAACCCGGGCTGCTACTCAAGCTTAGCGCCACAATTTTTTTTTCGGAGTTCAGCAAACGACAGGATTAATCAGGGTTAAGGCGAAGACGAATCTCGAAAAAGATTGAGCGAGGCGCTGTTGTAACGGAGCACTTTTTGCATGGATTGCAGTGATGGTTTCAGCTTTTCGGGCCTTACTGCAACCATCAGGAAGTTTTGGCACCTACGCGAGATTCCTTCTTCAGTGTGAATGAAGTGGCACTGTTTAATTTTATCAAGAGATCAACTGAGGTAATTTTAAGAAGAGCAAAAAAATCTTTGCTGTCGACCAGGCCTGGTTTCAGCGATGCGCCACGCGCTTGCCCACCATCCAAAATCGCGAAAACTTTCCAATATTAATGCATTTGCTTGTGCGTTTATTCTCACAGCTAAGCTTGAACGCCTTGTAAATCAGATCAAAAATCGATTCAATATTTTTGATCTAACCATAAGGATGCTTGTGGAAGAAGGGTCATCTGCCACTAGTCCATCGCCGCTGACAGCAAGGCATCAAAGTATCTCTTCGCGGAACATTCTTGCATTCTTTCCTAACATGAGTGTATCTATGATCACTATCAGCGTTGTGATACACTATCAGTTGAAACCAGTTGGAAACGACACAAGTTTCACGCATAACGGTTAGGTTTTCTGAGGAGAAACAACTTACAAAACTATTTAGGCCATCGAAGGCTGTGGGGCCCGGAGCCAAAGCGGGCCATGGAAAGAAGTCTGCCTTAGGGCGGCTACGTATCAGGCGACACAATGATAGACTCGGGTTGAAAGCGTGCGAGTAGAAACAATTCAATCGGCAGTATAGTGTGAGATGTTAACGCAATAAGTCAAAAGGCCAGAAAGAGTTTCTAGTGACGGCACTCCGAAGAACCAAGTGGAAGCATTCGTCGCCAGCATTTGTGACAGATGTCCGGCGGTACTTTGAACGCGTAGCAGCCTTCCGGTTTTTGATTTTTGCAAAAAATGCATTTTCTGTGCTTTTCATTCTTATCGTGGATGATGAGGCTCAAGCCAGTGATTTATGGCTGAGATACAATCATGATTTTTCCTGTGAAGGATTCCTTTGATGAATGGAGTGGCCGAGACTATTGTGCACAAGGTAGGACGGATATCGGCTGGAACAGAGGAGTTGGATGTGGGCCTTAATGTAGTTAGCCACGGGTACAACGTGTTCTGCACAAAAATCTAAAATCATCTTGTTATCTTGCATCTGTAGATGGGGGGGGGACCAAAACTAAGGAAATCTGCCATTCCCCCTGAAGCAGCGGTAATACGCCAAGGAATAGCTTCTGGTATCAACTGCCCCGAGCATTGCATACGATCAGTGGAAAAGTGTTCCATTCACTTTTTTAGAAAAGTAGTAAAAACAAAAATTCTTAGGATTAAGATATGAATGATTGATAACGGGGCGGGCGTTCGCGTAACGTATATCTGGCTTAGGTTCGGGCTTCTGCGTAATAACGTCTTGACCTTGCAACCATCCCCGTCACTTTCCGCCTTCTTGCAAAAAGCCAAGGATTTAGGCGCTCAACGGTTCTATATCCGACGCTGCCATTTCGTTGAGTTTAGCTTGTCTCACAGCTTTTTGGTGTCACTAGCTGCAGTCACATCCTCTGTGCTTTGAAAAGAACTAGGGAATTGGAATGCGTAGAACGACCTCAATCTAAGGTACATTTGGCCCATTGGCTCTCACTGAGCTATTTATCTCCGGAAAACATTTTTCCTAATTCGCTGCCCTTTTGAGGTTCGCCACGGTTCTTCTTTTACTATAGTCCCAAACCCGTATCATTTAGCTTTAGTCAGACATTACAACAGACCACTAATCCAGTTGTTTTAAAAATCACAGTATCTTCTTTTTTCTGGCGTTTTCAGCGCCGTCCCGTCCGAGATTCCACACAGCGCCAGTTCGTCTTGTTCAGACTATCTCCTGGAGAGGCTGTGGCTTCGGTGAAGCTCTTCCACAGTTCTCTTAGATCTCCTTTGAGCTTTTGGGTATTGCGTTTCTTGTGGGGTATCTTATACCCTTCCCAGCATATGTCCATACCGTCGCAGTCCCTCCCTGCTCTGACGCCTTTAGCCTTTAGATGGACAGGGGTTTTCAACCTTGACGATTTGCGTCTAGGCGCAATTCCCTTTCATCACCCTTAGGCAAAGTGAAATTACCCGTCGTACTTTTTGCCCCCGGCCAGAACTTGCAGCAGACCAGTTGGGTAAAGTTTGAGTGGCCTATAAATTTGAAATATATGAAGTGGTTCTCATAACTGATGAAGGATGTCCTCTGGATGATTCAGATCCGCGCCGTCGCTCTTTCGGTGTGTATCTTGCGGTTTCTTGTCTGATGTGCTTCTTGGGAGATTAATCTCAACAAACTAGGCAGCCATTGGCACGAAATCACGAGAAATTACGAGGCTTATACATTTTTTAAATAGGTTGTGTTGTTTTCCAGCGTGAAAATTACTTTCACAAGCTCATTGGTCTACTCGTGACAATTTCAAAGAGAAAGCTATGCTGAAAACCTTTAATTCTTTAATTTGCACTCACTAGAAAGAGTGGCTTTGATGTTGCCAAAGATCGAAGTCCTGTACGGAAATGAGAAAATGTACGATTTGTTAGCTCTAACTCCCTTTTTCACTGGGCCAAAGCAAACAATGTGCTGAGACCCTTCACTCCAGCTAATGGCCCTGTTGACCATTCCATTATAGGGCTCTCGAGAAAGCTTATGATGGGCGTTTTTCTGTCTGTGTTTTTGGTGACCGCTAAAAGAAGTCGTCTTTATTGAACTGAAAATTTTACTTTCTAAAGCGGCCATTGCTCAGCAATATGTATATTTTCAACTCGGGCGGGGTTCTGCGCGCCACTTCCGGGTGACGTCCTAGCATTACACTGATTCTTTTGCGACTTTTAGACATGGTTGGTGTGACTGGGGTATTCATCAGCCGGCCTGTCAACCTGGGCCTGACGCTGGTACTAGAACCATTTTTGCAATTTTTGCAAGGCATGGTTAACCTCGGCAGGGATCGACAACTCGTGGGCACGGACATGCTATCTAACTCTTACACTCGGCTCTCCTTGCTCATAACTTTTGTATCACATGACTGAAGTAGCGCTTAAGCATCAAGTTCCAGTCGACCAAATAGACAGAAGAAAGCAACATGGCTTTTTCGGCAACGTGGTAGCGGAATGTTTGAAAAGTTCAAGTGCAGGGTGCATCACTGCTTGATTTTTGCAGAAGAAAACATAGTTTAAGCCTAGTCACCGGTTTCCGCTACCGTCTGTGTAGACTCGGCTATTTGCCAAGCTTGAATTCACAATCAATCAATCGTTTTCGATCAAGGGAATGAAGGAAAGGTTCTAGGGCAAAGGTCCTTCGAAGCTTTACATATCTAGATAATGTTAACGTGAAACATCAGAGAAAATGCGATCCATCTAAAAAGCGCATTCCTGGCGGGCAGCTAACCTATAGTTCCTTGGCGGGTGTGGTTAGCTACGGGGCATTTCAGCTCACTTTGGCTTAACACGGGGTCTATTCAGGAGGCGGAGCACTTTTTGGCAGAACGAGTTTCTTGCATATTGCAGTAGAGACGCATGTAGGGAACACAAAACCATGTTTCATTTTCGCTGAACGGTTTTAGCAGTACCAAAAAAGAAGCATAAGGTGTTATGGTTCGATCCCCCGTGGCGACTAAATTTTGCATTTGGGTTGGCGGTGCCAAATCGCGCTAATTATCAAAATCAGATGTCAAATTCATCGTCAGGACCATTTTGAAGCCAAAAGTGGCCGCCAACCCCCAAATTTAGTCGCCGCAAGGGATTGACCCATCAAGAGTAATGGTTTAAGAGTAAGAGTATTTATTCACCACTTTTTTGGTACTACTAAAACCATTCAGCGAAAACGAAACATGGTTTGTGGTCCATACAACATGCAATAAACCGTTTTCCAAAAAGCGCGGCTTGCCCTGAAAGACCCCCTTTGTAAGGCGAGCGCCTTCGGGGAAGGCGGGGGGAGGACAATGCGTAAGGTTACCATTGGTGTGGTATGATTTTTCGTGCATGGGAGGTTCTTCTAGAGTCAGTTTTATGAGAGAGCCTAACGTTGCTGTATTATTCCGCGGGTTCTCTCTCCATAGGTCCGAGCTTTTGCTAATCAGCTGTTGCCTTTAGTTGTAGTGAAGTTTATGTTTTTTGATACTGACGGAAGGCAAAAATCAGCGCTAGAACCGCTCCTTGTGTTGAGATTTTTACATACGAGAAAACCCGATTGATTGACATGACTCACAGAATCCATTCTTGCTCGGATCAACCAAAATACTTAATCAAATCAACCGGAATCCCGCACTAGCAACCATTCCAGGCGGTTTAATCACATCAAGGTTGCCCACGGAGCTGAAAATCCAGCGAGTTGGCCAAATTGGCGGTCGAAGGTTTGGCCTGACTCGGACTCCTGCCTACGAACTGAATTGTCAAATGCCTGAGTTGCTTGAGAAATAACCCTTCTGTCTCCGCTTGGGGGTTATTTCTCAAGCCCTATAAAGTAGTGAGCCTGCCCATTTGAGTCAGGTCTTGTGACCTTATCATATCGCTATCTTGTGCAATCACCTCTTTTCCTAATCCTATTCAAAAGAAGCTATTTGAGCAGGGAATTCGTCGAGATGCACGAGCAGCGCATCAAGGCCTACCGCTGGGTCGCCTACTCGACGGTCGTCTTCTCGCTGGTCGCGGTCTTCTCGGCCTGCGTCACACTGCCGATCGCCCACATGCACGTCCGCCACATGGAGAGAACCATGCGCAGGGAGCTCGGTTTCTGCACGAAGTCTGCCTGAGGAGATCAGAAGTGAGGTAGAAATCCTTAGGAACATTCCAGTCGCTAACAGAACTGCTCGTAGCGCCGGTTACGAGGATGCCGCGATAGTCCAAGTAGCTCCCAGTGTGCAAATCGCTGAATCAACTGATCCGGTTAGCGATCGTTGCGCACTCTGCTGCCTCCCGGGAGCAGCTGGACCGGCTGGTATGCCAGGTAGCCCCGGTCGCCCGGGAAAGCCAGGAGCACCTGGCAACCCTGGAACTCTACGACACTTACCTCAAGAGCCCTGCGAACCCATCACTCCTCCACCATGTAGGCCATGCCCAGAAGGGCCGCCTGGACTAGCAGGGCCACCAGGACCCGACGGCGAAGCAGGAGCGAATGGCAAGCCTGGTGTACCTGGGAAGGATGGAGCTCCTGGACAAGCTGGACCCAAAGGACCGCCTGGACCTAATGGAAATCCCGGAGCCCCGGGTGGTAAAGGAGAGCCTGGAGCCAATGCTGCCTCGGGGCCTCCCATGCCTGGAGACCCAGGACCAGCAGGTGAACCTGGACCACAAGGACCACCTGGAAGATCATTAATTTTTTCCATTCTTAACAATATTTTGATGAAAATTTGTAATTTTTAGGTCCACCTGGACCCAAAGGTGAAAAAGGACCCGAAGGGCAGCCTGGCCCTAAAGGGAAACCAGGACCTCCTGGAGAGCGCGGACCTGCTGGACCTGCCGGAGAGCCCGGTGTCTGTCCAAAGTATTGTGCCATAGATGGAGGAATTTTCTTCGATGACGGAACTCGTCGCGTAGTGGATGTCGCCGTTAAACGAGGAAGAGCATAATTTATTATATATTACTTCGTCGGAGATAGAATGAACATTTTTCAACGAAGCTCTTACCATGGATCTTGTGGGTGAATGGCGATTTCTGTGACTGTGCTCACATACCAAAGGAGTAGACTGGTGTGGGTTCTGCCCACGAAGATGAAAAAATTGATGCGAAATGGGCCACCAGCTGAGTAAAAAGGAAAAGAATCCGTCGAAAACGCTTAGGTTAAGGGCTTACTCACCTTCGTAATCGGCTGTGCTAAGGAATGAGAGACTAAGCGCGGAGAGGAGAGTATGAGGCGAGAGAGCGCAACAGATGAGAGGGCGCCAGACAACAGCCTGCTAGGTTGGGGAACATTGCAGCTGCCGCAGCTAATTTTGCAAGGCCTATCGCCTTTGTCAGGAGCTTCCAGCACGGGATTGTCCCATCGTTGATTGTCCTCTCGGGTTCTATCCACAAATCGGTAGGAATCGCTCACATGACTTTGGGTTGGGCTGTACCTCTAAGTAACAGCAAAATTTTTTGCCAAATTCGTAGTGAGGAAGTGGCTGTGGCGGTTTTCAGCTCTAGCTTAATCTCGAAACCCTCGGGATAACTGTGTAATTTCAGCCTAATGGTAGTGCTAGAAGGGGTCGATGCAAAATCGCACAACTTCGATGTCAAAACCGGCCTAAAAAAGAAAAAAGTGCGAGTGCGGTCACGGGCGGATTTTTTCTGCCTGAGAAGCCGCCGAAACACGACCATTTTACAACCATCAAAACTAACAAACTTGAAAACTTATCATGACAACGCTATGCATCAAAACTAATAAACTTGAAAACCTGACATCACAACGCTGTGGGGCGATTCGCTCTGCTGTTGTGATATTAAATAGCTCGCAAGTTGTCAGTCTGGCCGCGCACTGAAAGGAGGCCTGTCTCTCCCACTGAATCCATAGCCGAAAAACGTGTCGCCATGGCATTTCGGCCTTATGCGTTTGGAAATATTCTGGCGCAATTGTGATTCACCGATTTTAAATGAAATCTGGCATGGCGTCAACGGGTCAATCCGATGAAGTCTTGTGATCACCCTGGGAGGGTAGGGTGGATGCAAAAGACGCTCGTGAAGCTCTTAACAAGCCGGCAGAGTCACTTTCTATTCCTAATTACCATATAATTTCATAGTTCATTTAAAAGGCAGAGCACAACGAGTGAAGGTGAGCGGGGAAAAAGGGACCATTCTTCTTGAGGTGTCCTGGCAGAGTATAAAGGTTAGGGAGGAAGAGTGGATCAGGAGGTTGCTCTACCCTTTACTCCTATACCCGAGGTTTTCGAGACTTATTCAGATGAAGCTCTCCTATTCTGATATGGAAAGAAACTTCCCTACCACCGTATTGATGCGGCTGTTGTGCTCGATGTAGTATCTCTACTCTCGACGAAGCTGCTATCGTATAAACCAGTAATCTCCTGACCGAGCCTTTCTTGCCCGCGGGTTGCTGCCAATCGTTCCTTATGAACTCTACTCGGTTTCCTCAGGTGGCTTCCTTCCGTCGTGCGTGAATAGAGCGGAAATAGAAGCTGAGCTTTCACCTCCCAGCTGACCGTTGCCTCGGCCTGAAAGGCTTCGTGGCTGTTTAAACAAGAATTCCTGATCAAGCGACAAATAGCAAGCCGCGCCCCCCAGCGGGATTCGAACCTTTCCATAGTCGTCATTTTGCGCGAATGTGCTGGACCCTAAGGACATCGATTCTCCCTCGTTGTGACGGTGTTCTGATTCCTACACAAACTTAATGGAGTTTGTGGTTGTGGAACAACCTTCCCACAAGGCCCGCTAGCGGGACTGCGAACCCCTGAGCCGTAGAATTAAAATGTCTAAGCGCTCTACCACTGAGGGCTAAGCGAGCCTCCACAGCGTCCGTTTCGCTTCCCCGTAGCGGCCGTGCCTCTCTGTAAGGGACGCATAGGAAATTGATATCCCTCCTGATGGCACTACTAATCTTCTAGCGGCAACCATGGCACCCTTAATTAGCTGGCCACAGGTGTATTGAACATAGCTTATCAGCCCTCACACGGTCTAATTCTATGGCTCAGTCGGACATGCGTAATGAAACTACAGCGGTCTATAGTCTATGGGCTTGATGAACTTGTCGGTATCGTTTTACGCAGCGATGGCTTTGACACAATATGTTGCTTTCGTAAACTCTTTTGGCTAACTGCGAGTTATTTTCATTTTGCTAGCGTTGAAGAGAAGAGGTCGTGACAGTGATATTGCGGCACGAGGTACGGGGGGTAAACTTTCGCATCAGGGGTGTAAATCGTGGGCAGTGGCGCATCTTATGCAGGAAAAACAAATTCGCAAGTAAATAAACAACACGGAAGTCACGCAGCCGAACTTCGTTGTGTCAAAAAGATTGAGGGAAAAATTGTGCCAATTGAGTAGCGTGATCAGCGTGACTCTGGCACTGGGTATCAGTAGGTAAAACTTTCAAGAAGCCCGTTTGGTACACGATATTCGAATACAATTACACGTTAATTATATATCTTATATGTACATGCAGATCGGGAAACAGCTTCGCAGATCGGCAGGAGATTACGGTAGAGTGAGGAGGAGTTCCGGCGGCGCAATAGCATCAGCTCTTCCGTGACTGAAGGAAAATCGATTTCATATGTTTGTCGATCCCGCAATGAGACGAGGTGAATTTATGCAGCAACTTTTTCGACTATGCCCCCCCCCTCCTTGTGAAAAACCTGAAATATAAACCTGAGGAGATATCTATACCTTATAGGACCAGCACAAAAACTGAGCCTTAACAAGGTGCCTCACTGATCCTCTTCTTGTGTTGAGGTAACGGTCCATGGAACGCGCATAAAAGTTCGTGGATTCGAACCCAGTACCGCTTCTCTGTGGGTCTGGGATTACGAGTAGGTCGTGCGGAACCGGCAGTTTTACACTAATCTTAAAGTTTAACTGCTCACCGTTTAACTTTAAGAGTCAGGCGTCGTATGATAGTCGATCGAATTGTCGGTGAAACCGTCCTTAGTACGGCGATTACTGAGAATTCAATTTTGAGGATGATGTAGTAGTTGACGGAAAGCGAAAATAGCCCAAAACTCACGAACAGCAGGGGGTCCTTGCTTTGGCGACACGGCAGGGCCCGTCTGATCTGGGCTCGATTGAAATAGAACCAAATCCATGGGTTCATGAAACTGTTCAGGTTACCGAAGAACATGATGTAAGTGGCGAAGGTTGGATCTGAATCGTCAAATATTGAATGGGTCTTAATAAAGTAAGTGGGTTTATTCACACGATGAGGTCACTTCTTGTGGTTGCCCATCGTTTTGGTGGTTCTACTTGCCCGCTTAGGCCCCCGGTTGCCACAAATCCCCGTGGATCTATTCAAAAAGCTTTGATACCCGTGGTTACGAAAACTCACTGATTGCTGTCGGCCAGAGAGCATCGATGACCGAAGTGATGCAGAAAGGCGCCCACAGGATGAAATTAGCGGCGACAATCGTCAATGTGAGCTTCACCGTCTGTACTCGCCGCCGGTCCAGCTCCACGCATTGCATCGTCGCACCTGAAGGAGGAAGGATTGGTGTCGTCACTCGATTACGGTACCTTACTACAGTATCCTCATGGTACGGCCGGATTGGGAGCTTTGGTCTATGTAAAGACGTATTTCTAGTTAATATAGAGTAACTATATAGAGTAACTATGAGCTGATGAGGTAAACTAGGTTGGAGGCATGCACTCTGGAACCCTGTAGTTCAAACATAGCGGCGACTATTTCTAGGACGCGCTTCTAATTTGTAGATCTATGACCCCTCTGTGCTTACCAGAAAATGCAAGTATAGACTAACTATGGGCTGATGAGCTGAGCCAGGTCGAAGTAAATGCATGCACTTGAGTTTTGCCTTACTTGGCTCGTAGAGCGAATTTCCATAGGGCTTTGAATCACATAGACTCACCTCTGTGATGGACTTGACCAGCTGACGATGACATCGGCGAAAGTTGATCGGTTTTTCTGGAAACACTTAGTGCTAGGCAATTCCATGAAAAGAATCCCTCCCAGTACTCACCCATTCGCGTGAAAACCGCTCCCGAATGACGTGCTCTGCCAGACTGCCTTACAGACGCGAGAGTACAGATAACCGGCAAGGGCGCTGGGTAGTAACCAAACGACTGTATTGAACACAGTCACGTAGACGGCATACTGTAACGAGCAGCATTTATGGAGGTAACCATTGTGATAGCGGACTGGAATTTACCTGATAAGCACTCGTATATGTGCCAACACAGTCATCATCGATCTTGGCGAATAACCCGAATTGTGGCGTCGAAAAGAGCAGCGCCAGTGCCCAGGCAATGCTGGCGTAGAGTGCTGGCCGCTTGTAGGCGTTCGTCTTCATCGACGCAAATGGGCGACAGATTGCCTGAAAACCTGGTGTGCTGAAGCTTTCCTTAACTATGTGATCAACGTATAGCTGAGTCCTTCAAGTACACAGCTAATCTCGTCCCTAGCCTAGCCAAGGGTTATCAATTAACTGCTCAACGATTGGAGGGTCTCATCTCCCTGAGGTTTCGATTTTAACCCTGAATGAATTTTAACCCGGGTTTTGAAGGTGTGAAACCAGGACCGACTGATCCGCACATTATTCAACTCAAACAGGGGTTTCTCATACTTGTTTCTGTGACACTACAAGGAATTCCCATCAAATTTCTCGAATTTTGAACCCCTCCTGCAGCCCTGAAAAGTATCCGCTGAGCTTCTCCACGGTTGAATTCTACGCCCCATGGACGTCACGTAGTCGAAAGTAATCGTCGAAAAACAATCGCCCAATTTTCCTCTACCAAGCAGAACAATAACTGTTTGAATTTGAGGTATTGAGCGCAGCGCCAAATAAAAACATGTTTTGCTTCTGGGATTTCGGAAGCCTGTGATTCGCATTAAATTCTCACGAAAGCGACGGACAGCCTTAATTTATGGAAACACCCAGGGAATGTCAAGCATAGGCATAGAAAGAAACAGAAGTGGTAATAATTGGCAGGATGAACGTTCATACTCAGCGACCGCAATTGTCGCTCACGTGTACTCTTTTGCAGAACTTTGGTAAAATCAAGCAAATTCTCACCTGGAATCGATCAGCGCTGATTGCCACGAGTAGAAAGGAACTCGCATACATCGGTATGACCTGAAAACCAAGTTGTTCTTAGGGCTGTGTTAAACGGACATATTCAGTAAGAGTATTCGGCAAAAGTTTAGCGAGCGAAATACTCCGAGGATAGGGAAATCGCTATAGCCTGGGTTCGGGTTTGAGTGTGAAGGCGTGAAGAATCTACAGGTAAGGCTGGCCAGGTTCTTCGAGAGCTGCCTTGTTTGATAAGCTTGACCCTGTCTATTTTTCTTGGCGGTTGCAATATCGAAACTATCAAATAACGTAGGTTCTTAATTCAATTTAGTAACAATTGCCGGACCTTAAAAAGGATAGCGGGCGTCTAGGAACTTTCCTTCCCAATTGCTTTGATCAAGGGCTTCCCTTCCCCGAAGGCAGAACGTTTTGCTTCACCGTTCCTGTAGCAGATAATTCACGCGTTGATAGAGAGGAAGAGGTGTGGGAAGGACAAAGACGGAAGATTGTGTGATGGAGTTTCGCCTATGCACCCCGTTCTCATTTCGGAATTTTTAGGAAAATCTCTGGTAAACAAAACTCTCCTAGAATGGCCCAAAGTGGGCTACTCACCTGAAGAAACTTCACGAATCTGCATAGCAGGTCCGGCCCGTAGAAAACCGGCACGGTAGCCGTGATGGCCATCGTTGGCACCATGGTTATGAGAGCGAACAGCAGATCGGCGGCGCACATATGCAACATCAGCATCTGAAGAATGCAGGATTGATTCGAACTTTCAAAACTTCTAGAAAGGGCCTCTCTATCTTTTTTGTGCAAAATTTGATCGGAATGATGTTTCCCGGAAGCACTTCAACAGAAGGCGCTTGGTTCGTTTCCGAACTCGTCGCATCCCCTCGAGATTTTGCTGGGTCAAAACTCTTGATATGTCCAACTATGTTGGCCAATACGAACATGATATGTACTCCTTTTCACTGTACCAAGATGTCGAGGAATCTTCCCTGGTGCGACTCCACACCCTACCTTTCTGACGGCTAGCCATTCAGTTGTTATCGTATACTGGAATATGCAATCTAATCGAGCTCACCTGCACTGGAGTGACTCGTTTGCGTCGTCGTACGGCGTTGTTCTTCAGAATCACGTAGACTAGAAGGCAGTTACCGACGACGGTAAGCAGAATGATGGCCATGTGATGAAGCATCATCCATTCGACAGCCGGCATCTCACCGACCCCGTCGCCGTTCACTTGCACTGCTCCGTCTCCGTTCGACATCCGCAGAATCAACTGAAACGCTTGGGGTGTATTTCAAACCGATCAATTTACATCGCCTGCACGTACAATATTCTACTATTATATTTATCACGGCTTTTCTGGGAGAAAATCTTATGAGAAGAAAGCTGAACCGATTTTTTTGAGCTTGAGAAGCTTTCAGAACTTCGCGTACTTCTGGAAACGTTCTTAGAGCTCAAGGTGCTCGTCACTCCAGACTCCTATTCCGATTTGAGGGTTCAGTTGCCCTTAAAAAGCCCCCAGCAAGCTAACCACTTTGGGAACATCACGCAGTGCACAAATTTTGTGAACTATAACAGGTAGAGCAGATTCGAGCTCCAGACTTTAAAAAACCCTTAAGTTCTAAGGGGAGGACTTGGTCTTTTGTTAGGTCCCCCTCAGGTAAGGGCTGTTTTGGCTAGGTAAAAGTTTGCATCCCAACACATTTTAATAACTTTGTGCAGGATACATTATAGCCACTCATCCTTCCCTATAATTTTTCCAAAGACCTTTCCGGTATAGAGGAAACATTTAAAAAGCGATGAAACAAAGAAAGAATATGAAAAGAAAATGCCAG